AAAAAGACAGTAACAAGCGTTGGCAAGGATGTGGAAAAGCTGGAACCCTCATCCGCTGCTGGTGGCATGTAAACTGGTGTAGCTGTTACGGAAGTTTCTCAGTTCATGAGAACATTAAGCATAGTTGCCATAAACCTCTCCAATCAATTCTGACTCAGAGTGGCCCTAGGGGACAGAGTAGAACTCCCCTACAGAGTTTCCAAGGCTGCAATCTTTATAGAAGACGGCTGCCTCATCTCTCTCCCTCGGAGTGGCTGATGTTCAAACCACCTACCTTTTGGTTGGCAGCCAAATGCTTTAACCACAGTGCCACCAGAGCTCCTCCAATGAGGCTAAGCACTTTACAAACATTCTGGAAGCCCTAGTGGTACTGTTGTTATCCCCAGCGTACAGATGAGGAAATGGAGGCACAGACTAGAATTTGTCTTTGGACTTGTTAGGTGTTCTGCGTTCCTCCTACCACTTTCTCTCCCTTTCCCACCTGGGGGCCTTGTCTCCCACCTCCCCAGCACAGCCCACCCTCCTGTGTCCTGCTGCCTCTGTAGGAACGGATCCCCTTTGCTGTGGTCGGGGCTGACCGAGAGCACATGGTGAATGGGAGGTGTGTCCTGGGCCGGAAAACGAAGTGGGGCATCATTGAAGGTCAGTGAGAGGCAGTGGAGGCTGGGGGACGACTCAGGTGAGAATGTGCTGCAAGCAGGGCATGTCTGAGCACCTACCACGGGGCCCTCATGGGGAAGCCCAGAGACGGGAGACACACAGCACTAGGATCAGCCCCAACTCCCAGCTGTGGGGTCACGGGCAAGTCACCTGCCTCTCCAGCCCTTCATGTCCTCATAGTTGAGGGGATATCATCACAGTGTCAACCTCATGGGGTGTGTGGAGGGGTAGAGTGCAGAGAGAAAGGACTCACCACCACCTCCCAGAAGGCTCTGCTCAGTCACTAAAAATTACCCTGGGCTTACTATGCACTGTTCCCCAGGATGTAGTGAAAGCAAGACAGATCAGGTCCCTGTGTCCCCATAGACCTTCCATTCAGGTGGGAGTGGGGAGACCGTGAACCAATCAAAAGAGGAGACAATGACAGATGGGAAGA